GGGGGGGGGGGGGCGCCAAGTCCAACACCAGCAGCAGCACAGGTGGGCCCGGGGACAGTGGACCCAGAACCAGACCCAATCAGAACCCCAAACACTCCAATCAGACACACACGAGAAAAATAACAGAACACAAAAACAAACAAACAAAAAAATAACAAAAAATACAAGAAAAAAAGAAAAGAAAAAAAAGGGGGACAGAAAAAAAAAACACACACCCTCCCAACCACCACACATACACACCTCTCACACTTCCCCCTGGGAACCCTCCTGCTGTGAGGCCACAGTGCTGACCACCACACTGCATTGCCTCCATTATTTTGTAATCTTTTTAATAAAAGACGTCTAAAATTTTAGTGTGCAGAGAGCAAAGATTTGATGATGTCGGCCTGTAGTTTCTGAAAGTAAGTGAAGATAATGAACTTGTTTCTATTTATTTACAAAGGCCCAGGAAATATGAATATGAAGGTAGAAGAAAAGGATCAAGTCTCCCTGATGGTCTAATGGCTAGGATTTGGTGCTTTCACCACCATGGCCCGGGTTCGACTCCCGGTCAGGGGATGGTTTTGTCTTTATAACACAATACTCCCATTTTTAATTTTAGTCCTCAGTTGTCCTGGAGAAATAACAAACATTACTTCATATTCTGATAAGAACTTACTGTCAGTACAAACTATATGAGGTCATGGGATATGTGTGTAGCTGGGTCCAGGAGAAGAGCTTACACATTCACAATGGGTGAAAGGAACAGCAGGCTGACATTGTGTTACTACAGGAGACTCTTTTAGAAATGAGAAACAGCTGCTGATGTTCTCTCATGCTCAAGCTATGAAGCTGTGTACTGCTAATATATATCACCCAAATGTTGATGACCCCTCATTTGTCACTGCTTCTTCTCTTCGATCCTCATAGGAGGGACTTTAACCTGGAGTCTGACTCTGGAGTGAACAGGCTCAGTCTCACAGGGAGTCAGGGAAAGCATCAGTCCACACAGATTACTGAACAATCAGTGGATGATTTTGGTCTATGAGGCTTGGAGTGGATTCTTCTTTACCTATACAAGAACATGTGTCCTCAGTGTCCATCATAAAGTGCTGATGTCGATCATAAACAGTCACTGACATGGTGATGAGGCTCTTCTTGTGCGTGTGTTGAGCAGCTGGCATCATCTCTCCTTCTCAAGCTTCTGTGGTGATTTCGGTTAAGCTGCAAAGGTGGCTCGTTGGTCTAGGAGTATGATTCTCGCTTCGGGTGCGAGAGGTCCCGGGTTCAAATCCCGGACGAGCCCTTATGAAAATATTAATAGGAAAACACTGGATAAACATGACAAAAAAAGTGGTTCAATTGTTCAATTTTCTGAAGAGAAAAAGAGTATCCATCGGATGAAGTTGAGAAAGCTACTGAGGTCTGTTTCAAAAAGAATAGTCAGCATTACTTGTAATTGCCACTTGGCCCCAAATAAACTTTAATAGGATACCAAGAAACATCCACCAACAGTGAGGGGTCAATATGGTTTAGAGCAGGTGGGTCTCGGTTTGCTGTCAAGGTGCCATATTTCCCTCAGAACAATACTTTCATAAAAGGAGGCCGAAGCATGGGAGGACAGAGGTCAGGGTCTTACGGTGAAAGAGAAATATTGAGGACCATGTGAGGCTTTCACTGAGCTGTGGATGTAAGATGCTCTGTTTGAGAGATCACCACTCAACCTCAAAACCCTCAGAATAAGAGTTTCACACTCCTCTGACTCTGCTGGCCGGGCAAAACACAGTGTGTTTTTAAATAAAAAAGAAGATGAAAAACTATTAAGTTTAATAACTCAAATTCTGCCTCTATTTGAATGCTCTAAGACCTTGTGTGAATAATGTGAATATTATCCATCTCCTCAAAGACAACGCTTTTCATTTCATTAAACATCTACTGATGATTTCCAGGATTTAAACCTTTAGGCTCCCCTTTCTCTTAAAAAGGTTATATTTACCTCTAAACTTAATGGGGAGCACATCTGGAACTCTCATCTAAATCACAAGCTGCTATTTTCATATAGGCATTTATATACATCTGGGTAAAATAAAGCAATTAAACAGAAAGGAGGCAGCAGATAATTGAAAATTCAACTTTACTTGGTACTTCATGTATCCAAAACCAAATTGTTGGTTGGATTCTAACCTGAGCGTGCAGATAGCAAAGACTTGGCAGTCCAAGATCTTCATCACTCACCACCCCTTCCATGTTTCAACACATACAGACTTTTCTGTAAGTGGCATT